TTTCACTAACGGAGGAAGGCAGCAGAAGCTGATTTAAACCAAACATTAATTTTTTTGGACGCCAGTAATTCAAATGGGATGTGAACCGAGGGACAGAGTTACAAGTCTATGTATGCCTATTTTGACAACAGAATCAGTCGGAAGAAAAATAGTGGCTGGATAATGGCGCCGATAGAGCCTCGTCAACATTCATCCCGTTCAAAGGGTTCCCTGCTGTTACGGGCTATTTCAGACGTCTCTTTCACTCGACTCTTTGATCTCGTGGTGCGCTACAACTCGGCTACAGATGACCAATTTGCCCTTGGGACGACAACCATTCACCACGTATCTAAACTTGGACGATCAGAACTCCATTCGGATCAACTGGCCGCACAGGTGGCGAGAACAAACGTGAGTTGAAGAAATCTCACGGGATTTAGGACAGGTAGGCCGCCTTCCATCTGCTACCTGTCGGGGATTCTGGGTCCTAGTGTCCCACAGGTTACACAGAAACCGTACACAAAAGCAGATGCCAAGCTTCGAGGAAATTCTCAGTGAAGCTATTTTTCCCAGATTGATGCCCCTCCAGCAAGTTGGTAAATACACCAACGGAACCGAGAAACATCTGTTCCTTACTTCATGGCCATCGATCACGGCACAATTGCTCCTGCATCGACGAATGGTGACAGACATACCTCCACATTTTTTTCCTTGACTGGGTGGAGGGATTGTTGGGAATGCCCCCACCAGGTCGATGCCCATTAATCAACCCCTGTTTGCACACCCCTGCGGCACACCACCCATAAAAATGATCCATGTACTGTATTAATCATGATCTTATCTCAATTTGCTCACAAATGGACTGATTAAGTGCGAAATATGGGCCTTTTCATTGAACATCAAGCTACAAGGCTGTTGTATGAAAGGCAACGGGTGAATTGCACATTCTGCCATCCAGTGGATAAGAATTGCATTGTTCTGCCTGTCACCCCATCTCACTGGCATAAAAATTGGTGCACGGGTGAAACTGGATACTTTCCTGTCGCACATCTGCTGATCTTTTATATCTCATGAATGTGTCGAGGCCCAGCACTGACCGAATGACCTGGCAGACTGAGTGTAAGATTATTTCATTCATATGATCAAGATGGGTTTTTTTCATGGTCATGAGCTCACCAAATGGCGGGAAAAAACATAATCACTGTTTACTACTCAGTACTCAATAATTCTTGGAAAATTGTGCAACTAAATGAGTTCCCTTCTTCTGGAAGCCACGCATAAGCGACACCCACTAGACAGTCGCCTGAGTGCACTTTTCAAAGACTCACGCAAGAAAAACAAACTAACCAAACTCTGAAGAGATGATCAAAAGATGTGTTTTCGAATCTTCAGACACTGAAAGCTTTTGCACGGGCTTGCGGGCGAAGATATAACGGCACGAAGCCATTATGTGACAGAAGAGGACAAAGCGCTGTTTTATTTTTTTTTTAAATTATCGATGTGGAAGCGTCACCGGTACGCTGCATCCAATTATCGCACCAATGAGTTCATCTGTGCCGTTGTCGTTGCTGCACGCAGGCACGCTGGAGTCGTTTTATGTGGGAACTTCAACCATGGGATTATCAAATTCATGTCCTCCAATTGTTTCGATTAAGATAAAATATCAGAAGCAGGTAAGGAGTTATGAAAAGACACTTTAACCTATTTGTGGATGCAAATATTGAGGGGCTTGGGATTGAGCCCTGCAGCAAATAGCGAAAGACCAAAAGCAATTGATGCCCCGTCTGTCAATTTGTTTTCAATTTTTCATATTCCTAGATTAAACATAAGTATACCACCAACCAGTTCCAAAATGTTTAATCTAATTTTAAACCAAATATAATAGCTTAATCTTAAAAATAAAAACAAAAGTGTGCCTGTACAAGCACATGGAGCAAAGACTCTCCGTAACTTCCAGTAACAACCCAGGCTAAGGTCAGCTGCTCCCCGACAAACAAAACTCGTCAAAATGTACCACTTCAACTCATTTCCTTGACAACAATGTACTCCTTTCCTATCAGTAAAGGGCTTTGGCGCCATCTTGTGGGATTTTGAGGTATTTCAGGAGGAGCAGAGAGATGAATTTTTGGAATGTTAAAGCACGAACCTGCACAGGATGACCGTACGTGTTAAAGAAAAAAAAATATCCAAGTCTGCCTTTCGCCACAATAAGGCCGCTTTACAACGTAACAATGTGTTATTAATGGGATTGCACTTACCAGGAGACGCGTCGGGAAAAAAAAAAAAAAACAAGCAGTCCTTTCGACCACTAGATGGCACACACACAGCATTCTGCAAGTTCCGCAACTGCCCTGCAGCGTCTATTGTCAGTACTAAAGAAAAAAAAAATCCAAGTCTGCCTTAACGCCACGACAATAAGGCCGCTTTACAACGTAACGATGTCTTATTAATGGGATTGCACTTACCAGGAGACGCGTCGAACGCCATCATCCTCAGAGCCGTTTCGAACATTTTGCTTACCTTCATTGAGCTCCGTGGTAGACAGTGTGCAGGTGTGCCTAAT